AGGTCGGCATTAGGATCGACCTCTTGAACCTCTGGGATCCCGTCTGACGCGGCCCCCGAGCTGGGCGACGAATCCACCCTCACCACCTGAGGAGCGCCCAGACTATGTGGCGGGCCCATCCTCGTCGCATGGGGAGCCTTCACGACCCTCCTGCCTCGCTTCTGGTCGCAAGACAGCTTCAAAAGTCTTTCCCTTCGACCGGCCATCGAACCTGCACAAAATAAAAGACGGGTTAGTGTCGAGCAAGTTCATAAATAAATGACGAGCAAAGAAATTCAAGCAATAAACGACCTAGCAGACGAGCAGCCTGCCTGAACGTCTGACACTTCACGAGTGCCTTAGTATCAATCGGTCGGGACTCAAATGTCGGATAACCCTCTGCATCCAAGACATCTTACCCTTCCCTCGTGGCCCACCGGGCGGGGTGGAAGCTGTCGACGAACCGGCAAAGAGTGGCGTACGCCTCCTCGTCCTCCGAACACATGTCCCCGGCAGCAGTATGGTAGTATCTAGTCCCGTGCTCGTAGTGCCTGAACATCCAATGCACAAGGAACTTGGCTGTACGGGCCATCACGGGATACCCATCGTTGCCTAAGACCGCCTACCCGTCATCATCGCTTATGGGCGCCTCCTCCTCGTACAGGGATCCTAAAGCAGATGTGGTAACTGGCCGCACGACATACCACTTGTCTTTAAAACCCCTCACGGAGTCCATGTACATTTTGAATAGTCTCCTCGACTGTTTTAAGGAGACCCAGCTGTGTTTCCCTCCCCGGGACTGGCGCTGCAGATGAAAAATTCTAAAGAAGAGCGGTATGGTCGCCCCGATCCTCAGAAAGCGACATGTCAGCTCAAACTCCCGGATAAAGGCGAGTGAGTTCGGATGTAGCTGCGACGGGGCCAACTCCAGATGGGTGAAGACCCAGGTCTGAAAGTCGCTGAAGGGCAGCTGCAGCCCAAGATCTTTGAACGCGATCTCGTACATCGGGAAGTTATACTCTGGGTACACCGAGCAGATCCGGGCACGGGAGGTCGGACGCATGACAACGAAATTCTTTTGGAAATCAGGCTGGCCCTGGCCCGCTTCGAGGACAGCATATGGATTTCGGTCACGCCGGCTATATATCGACGCGATTCCTCGGGGCTCGGCGCCCACCCAATCCAGCAAAGGGTCGTCGACAGTATCAATCAAGTTGACCGCCTCATCGGCACTTTGTTCCTCATGTTCGTGGCGTCCAGAGGAGCACGGCTCGTCCGCCATGGTTACCTGCAGAGCACGGGAAACCAGTCAATTGGGCACGAAACCATACGCTCGACATAGCGGACCGAGCGTAGTGTACGACAAACCACGTCGTCCCATGCACGACCATAAAAGTTAGTTTGCATAAGTAGTCGCCTCCCCGACATCCAGAAAACTCGATGTGTTCTTCTCCAAACCGACTACGCGGCCACTCTCCAACATGTCGACCCAAGGTATGAACATGGCGAGCAACATCATGAAACCTACGGCCAGAACCATGAACATACCGGGCACGATCATGAATCAGGCGCCCTGGATCATGAAGACCCCGGGCAGCGCTGCAGATTATTGCCTAAAACTATGAATCTACCGGCGACGAGCATGTGTTTGCCGGTCCTAAGCATGAATATGTCGAGCTAAGCATGAGTTTACCGGGCTAGTCCCACGCGCACAGTCCCTAAAACGTCTACAAACGCTGAAAATCATGCATTACAATAGGAAAATGAAGAAGATAAGTCACTTACTTGAATCAAAAAGTGGATTCGGCTACGGAGGGAAAGAATTTGTAACAGAAGATCGCAGCTATGAAAAATCTGGAAGAACAGCAGCAGTAGGAGCGCAAAGAATAGAAACGTGTTATGGGGCCCAAGGTTCCTATTTATAGTGATGACGTGGAATACCAAACGTCACCTCGGGCAACCACGGAGTTTCTCTCCTCGACGCACTGCTCCCAACGCAATGATGACCCTATCATCATAGGGTGGCGGCACAGTTCCTGAAAGATACCTCGTGTGCTCGACAGACACGCGCCGGTGAGGATCCTCCGAGCATCCACCGCGGAAGATGTCTCCGAGCACGACACGGAGAGGCCCTCGAGGGCCTGCATCTCTGTCCCGGGCGCGAGACCCCGAAGCAGAAACGACCTGAGTTCAAGCCATGGCTCCTAACAAAGGAACCACGACTTGGGGGGCTCCTGTTTTGGACTGGGCCCGACAGGCCCAAAAGCATTGCTAAGGCCCAACCCAAATGGACTTGCTGAGGACCACGCCGACCAAAGGGTCACAGTCGTGCCCGACGTGCTCCCTGAGGTCACGTGCTCGACCTCTACACCTCCAGCTCGATATCCTGCTGTCCAGCTCGACATCACCTCGAGCACCCCAACTAGGGCAGACTCAGTCCACTGCACTCCCAACGAGGCCCCGAAAAGACCGCGTCTCCGTCCGCCCGCACTTCACGCAGAACATCCAGGAAGGGGACCACGTGCGGGTCCCCACTACGCACGTAGAACCTGGCAGTTCCTCCATTGGGCCAAACCTGCCCGGCCTAATGAAGGAACCTTGGCCCAGCGCTGGGGGCTATAAATACCCTCTGTTTCCAGAGGGTCAGGTATTCATCATTCTACCCATACACTTAATTATTGCCTGCTCGTGCTTCTACTTACTTCAGCATCGGAGTGCCTTGCAGGTACCCCCCCCACCTCGTTCAAGAAGCTTTCAGCTCGGAGCCAGCCGTGACGGTCCATTTCTGATCAGGTCAGATCAATATATAATACATGTTATGACAAAGCTTTCACCTCACCCAATAAAAACAGAGGTATAATGCCAAGACGCTCCATATTTTATTTATTTTAAAAAAACCCACATGTTCTCTTGGTTTTTTATATAGCCGAGGGAAAAACAATCCATGACATGTTTTGAATCTCAGCTAATGCAGTTTATATTTTTTTTCTTTATAAGTGGAACCTTTCTTTTTCTTTTATTTTTTAGTTTGTAATCTAATTGATCTATTCCTTCAATTTCTGTAATAACCGAATGATAAAATAATCAGATTTTACTATAAAAGCAATAGTTAAACAAATTTTACACTAATTCTAAATTATATGTAGCCGCCCCAAGCTCGTGCGCATCATTCTTTGGGATGAATTACCAGACAAAAAAATTCTTCAATGTTTTTCTTTCTATCTTGACAAAACATTTTTCCCTTGCAATCTATCTCACATAATGATGTTGATGTTGTTGTTGTTGTTGTATTTTTGAAATAACATTTCTATGTTGTCTATCAAAGAAAACAACATTGCTTTCCTCAGCTGACAACATTGAGAAATTTATTCTTAAACATGTTATAAATTGCACACAAAAATGGTGACTAGTAAAAAATAAAATGGAAATATGACATGTTACTTTCAATTCTTTATCATTTACCATTTTTTTTGAACTTATTACCTCGATATTTTCTAAAGCCAAGGAGTTTACTTATTTTATTTTATTTTTTTATTTAAAAAATAAAATATTGTTCCCCTTAGTTAAGCTACACAATTACAACAACAAATTTCTACCCTACTTTCATAAAGGAACAACACATTCATAAAGGAACATCACTCATGATATTGCCAAGACATTAATGCACAACAAACTATCTACATTCACCATTATATATCTTTTTCTCTTTCTTGTGAAAGCATTTGCCATGAAAATTTTTGCTCAAGATAATGAAATCTTGGAACTTAAACAAAGTTAGAAAAGTTCTCTATGATGAATTACAAGTGCAGAGAATTATTCTTGCTTCAAGTGCAGAGAACTATTAACTTGAAGCAAGAAAAAGCTTATTCACCTATGACGAGTCAATAAAATCTTAACCCTCATTTACTATAATCCTAAATTGCTCATTCCATCAAATCTTGCCACTTTGTATTTTGCACCAGAGTCTCTGTCTAAAATCTTAAGCCATTAGATATTTGAGTCACATATATTTTATATCCAATATTTCATCAATTTCTACTCAATGTGAAACGAATTGTTCACATTTGAATTTCAATAGCCTCCCTCCTAAGTCTGAGTAACCCACTTCACTATAATTTACTCATACTATGATTAAATTATATTCTCGCTCTCCTATCAAGTCTAACCATTGAATTATATTCTCGCTCTCCTATAAGTCAAACCATGTTTGTGATATTAATTGTTGGGAGTCTAGGATTGGATTATATTCTCCCTCTCCTACCAAGTCCATGTCTATGATATTAATTGTTGGGAGTCCAGAGAAGTGTTGGGAGCAACAATTAATTTAACGTCCATGACCTTAATAAACTTTGACACCATATTTGCACCATCATTTTCTTTTTAGTCTACATGAGACTAGACGTTCGCACTTGAACTCCAATAAATTTCAATCTCCCATAAAAACGTCACCTGTTTTCTATTTTTATTTATTTATGCTTCATATTTTCAAGTTCAATTGTTTATGCAATGCTACCTAATTTTCAGACTCTTATCCAAACAGTGTTGCTAGTTTTTAATTTTTCTTTCACAACTTCTCAAATAGTATACATAGATTGTCTTATATTTTTAGCTTATAGAAGACTTAAAATTTCAGTATATCTAATCTAAGAGGGGAAATAAATAATCTAAATATTGTAAGAACAGAAGTTCATGTGTAGAGCAGAAGAGGAAAAAACATGTTTTGAGAAAGAAAGAAACTACAATGAAAGAGACACATACATAGTTGTGAATTATGATACACATTATATATATTGCAACCTGAATCTTCACTTCTATTCAAATACAACATATTATCTGCACCAAACCCTCTCATTCCTTTCTTTTCCATTCTACATATATAACATCCATCACTATATATAGCACAGACTATAAGATAAGTATGTATATATGCCCTTTTTCTTTAGAGCATAGTGAAAGTACATATATATTCTATGTTGCAAGCAACAGCATTTTCAAAATTGACTTCAATAGTTATGTTATTCCTATCTTGCTCTTGAAAGTTGTATAGCTTCTTGATCAAGAGTTGATTCATCACTCCAAGGAAATTGATGAGTCATGAGTGACAATTCTATTTCTTGATTTCTAGCCTCTTCAAGTTGCTTCCAGTCCGCCCATCTATCTGCTAATCCGACTCCCTGCAACATTTTTACGACCTCGGACATCGTCGGACGATCCTCTGGATAGCATTGTGTGCAAAGTAATGCGACTTGAAGAATGGTTTCGACTTCTTTTGGATGATATGTGTCCAAATTGTTATCCACTATGTCCTCCAGCCTATTTTCTCTTAATAGATTTTTTACCTGTTAATAAATGCAAATATTTAAATACGAGTCGTCTAATCTTCATATAGCATACGAGATCTACGAACGGGTGGCTGCATACAGTCTATGAATGAACACTAAGAAATATTATGTTACTTAATAATCAAGTAATTGATAGATGAAATAGTTAGAAAATGTTACATGATCAATGAGAAGAACGTCCTCCTCTTCTTCGAGCCGAGAGAGGTCAATAGCACGCTGACCTGTGATAAGTTCGAGAAGTGTTATGCCGTATCCAAAAACATCCGTCTTCTCTGATGATTTTCCAGTTGACAAATATTCCGGGGCAATATGACCCATTGTACCGCGCACTTGAGTGGTAACATGAGTCATCCGTGCATCAACTAGTTTGGCTAGTCCAAAATCACCAAGAACAGGTTCAAACTCGTCATCTAGAAGGATATTTGCAGCCTTTAGGTCACGGTGAATTATCTTTGGATTGCACTGCTCGTGTAGATATTCCAAACCATGTGCAGTACCGAATGCCACTCGCTTTCTTTTTGGCCAATCTAAGCCTTTCTCATCAGATTTCAAATCTAGAAACATCATAGTGAAATCAAATATATTAAGCAACGAGCACGAACTCAGAAAAAATGAATCAAAGAACGAAACAAGTTATATCAGTTTTACTACCTCTTAATTGATACGCTACACTTAAATTTTCCATGAAAGGATAAACAAGGATTCTTTCAGTTGAGTTTGAAAAGAATCCAATTAGTCTTAGGAGGTTTCTATGAACTGCAACACTAATGAGATCAACTTCTCTCTCGAACGCAGCCTCTCCACCAGCATTATGATAATCAGTGAGGCGTTTCACCGCGATTTTTGTGTTATCCGAGAGAATTCCTTTGTACACTTTTCCAAACCCACCTTGGCCAATGACACAGCTTTCGCTGAAATTTTTAGTCGCAAGTTGGAGTTCGCGCAAAGAAAACTTTCTTAATTGGCCAAAATAAACTTTGGTCTCATCTTCACCTATACAAATATAATTTTCATACGATATCAACTTCCATGCTCGCTAAACCTAATTGGAAAATGTTTTCTCAACGAAAAAAGAAAACTTACCTAAAACATCTACAAAGACATCATTTTTGTGTCTGTCCTTTTGATGATATCGATATGTAAAGATGGCCCCGAGAATCAGAAGTGCAAAAGCACCACAACTTGCATAACGCACGACTTTTGCCAATTTTGATTTGTTGGTTGAATCTGCATAAGGAAGAGGTAAACTTTAGGTATCTGCTAGATAACAGTTTTTCTATCATATACTTTATTTTTTCCGAGTTAAGCAAAACAAACCTGGATGATCAGATTTAGAAACACAAGACTGCTCGAAGCTAGAGCCGCCGCAACCAAGGCGCGTATCCGAAAAGCTGAAAGTAATAATCCAAAAAGTAAATAAGAAATTCATAAATTAAGAGAATACCGAAAACACTCATAAATATATAGGTATTCATACTTAAACATCGGAACTGAAAAGAGTTGTGTTGGGATAGTTCCGGTAAGATCATTAGACGAAAGATCCCTGTCGAAAGAAAAACAAAAAATCAATTATAGAATTCTCGAGAAACACCATAGAGAACAACTTAAGAAATGGAAAGTGAAGACTTACACATTGTTGAGATTAGATAGTTGACCCCATGTAGCTGGTATTGAACCGTTGAAATTATTGTTAGCAAGATTTAGATATTGTAGGAATGTCAAGTTGGCAATGTAATCAGGTAAAGGGCCTGAAAGATTGTTGTTCTGCAATTCCCTGCATCATCAAGATTATTTGAGCTTATCTACTGGTATAAGCCCCTACAAGACTGTTCGAGAAAGTTTATGGAAACGGCTTACAACATGTCCATAAGTTGTTATCAACTTATATTCATAAGCTCTTCAGGATAGCTTATGTAAACATGTTATAGATTATGTGAAAACAATTTGACTTTATTTTATCTTAAACTATAGAAATAGCTTATATAAGCACTTATATGGTAAGCATGTATACTATAAGCACTTAATTAAGCCGCTTATCCAAACAAGACCTACTTAAATGATGATAGTTCATTAGCTAGATAAGCTGAAATCTTATTATTGTCTACTTATGATAACAAGACTTACAAGTCAACCAAATATTCCAATCTGGTAATTGAGGGAGAAAGTGTTCCAGAAAGTCCAATCGATGCCAAAGTCCTGAAGATCGATTAGATAAAAAATTTGAGAAACCGAAAACAAAAACTAGATTATGAAAATAATAGTAAGAAACATTTTATGTACTTACAGAGATATAACATGTCCATTTCTACAAGTTACATGTGACCAACTGAAACAAGGGCTCACTAAATGACTATCCCAATCTTTTATTTGATTATTCGAATCATTGAGACTATTCAAAAGATCAAGAAGGGCTTCACCTGAATCATCAAGAGTGTTGAAATATATCATGGTAATAAATAATCTATGGTTTTTCCAAGATTTTAAAAAACAGTCGGCTACAGCGAAAACGGTTGCAACAAAACAATATCAGAAAGTGCCGATACTAATACTTTATTCACCGTTTTTATGATGAAAAATATCATAAAAACAAATTGTGGTTAATTCATACCGCGACTACTGTGACTACCACAATCAGTGTACACTTGTACTAACTGAAATCGCGAAAGCTTTTGCTTTTCACTTATATAGTGAAATCTTTAAACAGTTTTTTTCAAACATGTTTCATCATTGATAGCTTAAAATTCATTCCACAGTAACACAAGGAATCAAAATTGAATTCAAACAATACACACAGGTTTCTTAGTTTTGAGAAAGAATAACCAAACCTTCTATATCAGGATCTTTGATTGCAAAACTGAGTTTCAAGACAACTATGAATATGAACCACCTCATCAATATTCTGAAAGGAGCCTTGCTAGAATTTGAGGACAACATGAAAACCTAATCAATCCCTTCATGAAGTAAAATCACAATAAAAAAACAATTTAGTAATATTGCAAATTAGTCCTTCTATTCCACCTTATTATAAAATCATGACATGCATGTATTTTGTTTGTCTTTGTTGATGATATATGAACACAAAAGAAGGGAAACAATGAAAAAAAGAATTTAATAGTATTGCAAATTAGTCCTTCTATTATACCTTATTATGAAGTCATGACATGCATGTATTTTGTTCATCTTTGTTGATGATATTTGAACATAAAAGAAGGGAAGAAAAGAAGAAGAAAAAACTTACTAGTTTGGGGAACATGAAGAATGATAGGAGTTGAATGAGAGGGGGTGACACTTTATTATTGTGAAAAAGATGAATGTCAAATGAGTTGAGTGATCATAAGGTAGTGGCAAAGGAGGGACCCACATGGCATTGAGAAAGGAGACTAAAAAGGGTAAAGAAAGAGGACTATTGTTTTTTCATTTTTGAAATAACATGAACCAATTGTGAGAAAGAAGGAAAAAAAAAAGAATATACTAAGAGAGAAATGAGAGAATATGAAGGGGTATGTGTTGGTAGTGTCATGGTGGGAAGAGAATGAGAATCCCACTAAGTTGGGATTTTACTTTGTTGATACTAATAGGCTTCTTCATCACCCTTTTATCTCTATTCAATTCTATTTCGACAGGGAGTTAGATACAAATCTTTTTAAATATTTAGATGTTGATATTTTTTAAAGATATTATTATTAATAATATTAAAAAAGAAAAATTGAAATTAAATTATGATTTTCAAGAAATTATGTATAGTTAAAAAGAAAGAGAAATCATTAATCAAGTTTTAAAAATAATTTTTAATCTCAATTATTAATATTAAATTCAATAATTATTATTAAATTCTCACATTTTTTTATATAACTTACTCATTCTCATTTAATATGTTATACAGTGTATTCATTAAAATAATACATTTTCTTTTAAATTTTAATTTAAGTTATTTATTAATAAATTAAATTCAACTAATTAATAGTTGCATTAAATTTTAAATCATGTTCTAATATATTTAATTTATTGTCATTCTAATCAGATATGTCGCACCATATTAAAACATTCATTAGTAATTATCTGACGTAAAATTTTGAAAGCGAATTCACATGAATTTGTCTAATCTCCATTCATCAGTAACTAGTTTAATTGAAAACCCAACTCTAAAATTCAACTCGAATTTATTAGAAATTCATTTTTAAATAAAATTTAACTTATTGTTTTTAATTCACCAACAACTTCACTGGCTTGAATCACATCATATAACTTATTAATTCATCATATAATATATATATATATATATATATATATATATATATATATATATATATATATATATATATATATATATATATATATATATATATATATATATATATATATATATAAATTTATTTTTAAGTTTTAGTCTAACTTATTAATTAATAAATTCAATTCAATTCAATTAATTAAATATCGTATTGAATTTTAAATTATGTTCTAATGAACAATAATCAATTAAGTCACACCATATCAAAGCATTTTGAATGCTTTAACTCCAAATAAATATATGTCCTTCAAGTGTTATTTGGTACGAGTTTGAACTTGTAACCTCAAAATATATTGATGTGGAAATTAACATCGTAGAAAAAGGAAAAATATATTTGATATTTGATATTACAAATATATATATGATGGACTTTAAATAGAGATAATAGTAACCAATTTAGTCTTAAAAGTAGGAAACAAACTTCCTAATCTCAAACTAATCATAGAGAATAAAAAGGGAAAATAAGAATAATAATATTATAAAGTATGGATTTCTAAGACACCCCCACAAGCTGGACTGTGGAGATTGATGAGGCCAAACTTGGAAATGTGTGTGGCAAAAGCTGGTTAGTAAAGTTGTTTGGTTAGGAAATATGTGATTTGAAGTCTAGTGTGTATAGGGAAGAGTTTGATAATGTCAGCTTCGATCTTCTCGCGAGTGAAGTGGCAGTCAATCTCTATGTGCTTTGATCATTCCTGAAAAGAAGGACTGTGTGCGAGGTAGATGACAAAGTTGTTGTTGCAGTAAATAGAAGCGGGTTGTGTGAATGAGTGATTCAAATCCTTGAATAAGTTATGTAGCCACTAGAGTTCGTAGGCTAAACTGGCTAGAGCTCTGTATTCTACCTCGGAGCTGCTCCGAGAAACGATTTGCTTCTTTTTGGATTTCCATGATATAAGGAAAGCTCCTAAGAAAACCGTATAACATGTGATTGATTTGTGAAAAATAGGGCAACTTTCCCAATCTGAATATGTAAAACCGGATAAAAGTAAGTTAGAGTCGATGGAATAAAATAAACCTGCTGCAGGAGCAATTTTTAAATATTACAGAACACAGATAATAGCTTTGAAGTGAACAACGTGAGGTTTGAAAACATGTTGGCTAAGTTGTTGGATGACAAAGGAGATGTCCGGTCTAGTAGTGTTGTATCCCAATTTTCGCCCCTAAGATCCCTTCATCATACCATGTTGATTCATTCACAATAAGATCACACTAGGATTCTTGGTTCCCCTCCCTATATGTAGCTTTGCCCTTTTGAGGAATCACTAAGCACCTTAACTTATGTTCTTTTGTGATCATGAATATTGTTTCTGTCTTGATTTCTTCTTTCAACTAAATAAAATGCAATGTTGGTTTGTCTTGCTTGTTATCCATGTAGGTAAGGGCAATGAGATTTAACAAGTTACCCCATGAGTTCATGAGTTCATTTCCATGCCCTAGTCAATAAAGCTTGAGAAATTCAAACCTCACCATTGGCTTGGTTTTGGAAGAATTGGCATGGCAAGGTTGTTTTGGTTCATCACATTTCAAGGTTATCAAATTTGGTTGAAAAGCACAAGGGATTGATTGGAGAAGTCGTCATGGTTGGACAAGATTTTATTCCATTTGGTCACAAGTGCATATTTCTATCAATGTTCAAGATATGTGTTGTACCCCAAAATTTGCCCTCCCATATTCTTCAAGAAATTGCCAAGCCAAGTCACAAAATTCCCCAAGGGTTGTGCAGTCCAACTGTCTCCTATACAGTCAAAACTAGGGTTTGTGTTCTGATCAAGAAAAGGAAGTTTTCAAAGGCCCAATCAAGTCTCATATGCCTACAAAGATGGTCAAGTATCCTCATAGCAAGTTTCAAGGCATTCAGCTCAAAATTGCACAGTCAAAACCCTAAATTGCACTACAGTCAACTGTAGGGGCAAAATGGTCATTTGACAGTCAAAAGTTCAAATTTTTGGTCAACATATCATTTTGAAGCCACAAACATCATTTGATCAATGCTTGATCATGATTCTCAAAATTTGGCTCAGAAATCATCAAAGATGCAAAAGTTACTATATTTGGACAGCTGAAAAAGTCAACTGAAATTGACCAGGGCATAACTTTCACATGGATTATCAGAAAAATTCCATCCAAAGCTCATTTTGAAGAGAAAGACATTTCCTACAACTCATCTTCATACTTCAAGTCCAAGAAATGCTCTCACAAAAAGTTATCAATTTCAACATTATAGGTCATTTTCAAAAGTCAACAAAAAGGGACTTTAAGTCAAAGGCCATAACTTGAGATTGGTAAATCAAAATGACATGGGACCAAAGGCATTGGTTAGAGGACTCAAAGACCTTTCCAAAATGTCCAAGAACATGTGAAAAACTTAAAAATTGAGCAAGTTATGCCTTGTGGAAGTTGGGAAATTTTTGGATATTTTGAAAAGTCAACTTTGATTCAAATGACCTAAAAATGCTAATGGGCCCACTTTTCTTCCATGATTCATCATTCCAAGCATGTGCACGACCACTTGGCCCAAAGGGAAGTATTTTCTCATTTTTTATTTATTTATTTGAATTATTATTCATATTAATTCATTTAAATTATATAAATATGTGAAAAATATCTAACATGACCTAACCAATCTTTTTATGCATGTTTGATACTCAAGATTTCGTGTACAACTAAATAGGGAAAGATTTGGACTAATTGGATCATGATTTGCACAAGAACATGTGAAAAAAGATATGAAAATAATGGTGGAAAATCAAATATTGAAATCAATGAATGAAAAAGATTTTGGCCAATTTTGTTAACCTAATAGCTTCACTACAAAGCCAGGAACACAAACCTAATCGTGCTACACTGAAAGCTGCGCTAGAGACCCATATAGAAACTTGGAATTTTCTCTAAAAAAACTAAAAACTGAAAACAGCTTTCCAGGTTGATTCAAGGCACGAAACCTATTCCAAAAGCTTCCTTGGCAATCCCTGAACGTATTCCAATCAAAAGCATCAAAGATAGTCCCTTGAAACGCTGTACAGAAGTCACTCTTTTGCCATTTTCTTCCATTATCGTGCTTTGCATTTTAGACACTTTCATAACATTTGATTCATGGATTTATATTCTTTATGATGTGCTGATGCTAACCAATGCCTTTAATTGCATTTTTACGCCATACACACGATTATGCCATGATTACTTTTTAGGGTTTGCAGAGCTCTAAATTGGGGTTTTTTACCCGAGGCAAAATTAGGATTCAGGAGTAATACCATTGGCATGAGCACGTCCAGACGAAGAGATCCCAACCCTCGCGCCTAATTTATATTTAGGGATGAGCTAATCGCTATTTTTCAATAGCCTGCCTAATGCAATGCGTCCAAAACCGTTGCTTTTGTGTTTGTGTTACAGGGATGAGGAGGAAGATGGAGTCGTGGCGAACGGTGGTTGGTGCGTTTGAAAATTCGCGCGCTGAACCACTAATGCTTTCGTTTTTCCTTTTGTTATTTATTTGTCATAATATATTTGAATGTGCACGTAGCTCAGCTGGCAAGGGATGGTGATTGTAACGTTCAAGACCTGGGTTCGAACCCCAGGTCTGTATAATTGCCATATTATTTTTTCATGCAAATTCCCATGCAGGCGCAACATTGAAGCGCATCATGTTCCTTCATCATCTAACCATCCACGTATCCCACAAATCCAAATCAAAGGCTGGGATTGGATGTGCACCATAAGCTTGGTCAAAGCATGTACACGCTGGATGGAAAAGTCAAGGGACCTGAGGGATATTGGGCTCAAACTACTGGGCCACACCTCTATTTGGGGACCTCCACCCCCCCTGGTTTGCCTTCTCCACATTTTTTTTTATATTTTATCTCTATTATTTTATTTACTTTATTATTTTAATTCAGTTAATTATTATTTTTTACAAAATATAAAAACTTCATAAAAATCAGAAAAAAGATAAAAACATAATAAAA